ATGTGTGTTCCTAACCAGGAATTTCTAGAGTGTCCGAGTGGATGGATACATCACGACAGTCTATGCTATGTTCCGGTCAGCTGAGTTATACACCAAAATTATTTTGATTCGCTGCGTTGCTTTCCCAAGATTCAAAGTGATTAAGAGGATAAATTCTTTAAAGCGGAATAGCTCTGTGTATTATATCAACCCTTTCACCTCAAATGTTCCGAGCTGTAAACCATATAATCTTTCATCCGCATTCACCTTTCTTTTTCTGGAAGGCAATGGTCCGGAATTAACGTTTTTTTTTCAAAACTTTTTATTAGTTTCTGTAACATTTTCTATATTAATCCGATTATACTTAACTTCTTTAACATTTTGCCAATTTTCGAAATTTCCCAGCTCATCTTTAGGTTTCGCTCCACATTTTCGCGTATAATTTCAACAAATTTCTTTTAAATATTTCACTTGTGATAAACAAAGCTGACTTACTAACGAGATCCAGATATGGCACTAAAGAAGAATGTCTACAAATTCAGAACCGAAACATTTCTCACTCGTTATGCCTGTGGTTTTTTATGCAATTTCGTGCGTTTTTGTAACTCATGTAAATGCTCTCCATGCCTACATCCACTTTTCAAGATGATAGTGAAAACTCCAATTTAAGATGGCTCTAAAATGCAGCACTACCGTCCCAATGGCATCCTTCTCTACTACATGAAAAGACTGAAAGCACTGCCAAGGTGAACGCGTATATTTAGCTGTAAAGAAAGCCGTTGGAGACGTACACCGGCAGCGCCCATGCAATCATAAGTTTTTGCAGTATCTCGTGCTGTACAAGACGACTTGGAATCACAATAGCTAATATTTATGACATACTGGTCCTCGAAATTCAGAAAGTTAATCGTACAACTACTATGTGCACTTGAGAATTTTAACAAATTTTAACAATCTGTTAAAATTTCAGCTTTCTAGCTTTTGTGGTTCTCGAGCTAGCGATTTTCCCCCTCTCCCCCTCCCAACCCCAAAACTTTCACGATGCCGTACTTGAGTAACACGCTTAGCGAGGGGTTGAATTTGAAATCTTTTAAATTGTGCGTTGGCCGAAAACTTCCCCCGAAAATTTCAGCCTCCCAGTTAGGTCCCCAAGTTAGCCATTTTCTCGTCAAAACTTTCACGTGGCCATAGACGGGGCCCCAAACGTGTGTGAGGGTTGGTGCCACGACTCTGTGGTAGCACTTAGTCGAGGAATCCGCTGGCAAAATTTTGGCTCTGGAGCTTGCCTGGTTGCTGAGTTGAAAAACCAGGACAGACGAACATACACACCCACACACGCACACACGAACATACACACGCACGCATATCAGGGGTGGTCGCAATATGTGCTTTTGCTCGCTGTAGCGGCGTTATAACGCTGCACAGCAAAAACGCATAATAACTGTTCGTACCGTTAAACGTTTAATTGCTTCAAAATTAGTGCAGCTCAGGTATTCTATTTCATATCTAATTTTTAGGAAATTTCTTCGTAACAAAATTCTGAATGACGACCTACGTCTTTTTTATAACTTCCATTAATGTTTTCATTTTTTTCTAGTTGATTTTATAAGGATTCTTGCAGTAGCCAATCATCAGTAACTTATAAGAGGTCAAAATGGCGAAATGGAAAAAGATGAGGGATAAGCCGGAATTCGTTGAAGTGCTGCTGCAAATCGCTGTGTGTAGCTTCTTTTGTGGTGATAATGCTTTTTGTTTTGACGATGCAGTATCATCGTATATAAAAGTGCAAATTTAATTTCAGATACCTGGAGCGTTTCCCTATACCACTGCCGAAAATATCTGCGGCACTTTGCGCGGTACCGTTGCTGCACCAAAAGATGGATCTCAGAACCATCACATATGGCGTAAGCGCCTTCTAAGTTTTTCTTTTTTTTTACATATAGGATGTAGTCGCTTTACGATCGAAACCTGGAAGGTGCAGTGGTCAAATGCCGTCGTTGGAGAAGCTCGCGCCTCTGCGAATTGCTTAAACGCTTTCATGGGAAATGCGCAACAGCGTTTTTGAACATGCCAAGAAACTTGAAACAATTTGACTAGCCTTTCAGAGCAAGGAAAGAAAATCGCCAAATTTGTCAGCGTACGGCCCACGTTTATAAAAACGCTATTATTAGAGATGTTCATTTGCACTCCACTTCTCTTAAGTGTGCAAATTTTTTTACGTCAGCTTAACGATCAGTTGAATCTTAAAGACAGGGGCCTTGCAGGACTCTGTAATTCGGTAGCTGTTGCAATTTTGAATTATGAAGGCAGACTTTGAGGAGACTGTCGCGGAAAACCCGTAAAAAGTTGGCAAAAGAAAGCCCCATCACAAGAGATTATATACTGACTTTTTTGGGAGGCACACAAGAAATTGAAAGATGCATGCTGCTTTAAAAGACAGATAGAGAATGCTACCGGGTACAGTTTTGGGCACGAGAGCTGTTGGGTTCAAGTTGACAAATACGTTGAAGAAAAAAACATTTCCGTGCACCCCCGTTCTTTTAAGCGCGGAAATTTTAAAGCGTCTAATTGACGAATGACGGTAGGAATTCCCTATTCTCTAATAACTTATATAACTTCAAGCTACAATGAAAGACACCGATGAAAAACCGGCAACAGCAACTAATGAAACAAAATATAGGCAATAATATCAAGCCAGCTCACTCATCATTGTAGGTATCCGAATTAGTAATGTTATTGGCTGGAGCAATAGAGAAAAACCATTGGAAAAAACCACCGGGCGAGCCCGTGCGATCAAGCGTTACTGCAGAATTTCGTGCTCTAACGAGATCGCTCAGAAACCGAGTAGCTAGAAATGCGCGACATACTGTTTCTTGAGAACCGAAAAGTTAATTACTTATGCGGTAGTTGGACAGGGAACATCCCGCTTAAAACTTCAGTCCGCTAGCTTTCCTGGTCCCTGAGTTAACAATTCTTCCCCCAAAAATTTTCACGGGGCTGCATATGAGAATCATGCATACCTGGAGGCCAAATATGGCATTTTTAGCTTTCACGGATGCTGGAAACACACCTTGAAATCCCAGCTTCCCTGGATCACGAGCTAGAAACTTTCCCGCCAAAAATTTTCACAGAGCCGTACGTGAGAACCACGCACGCCCGGGGGATGAGTTTGTTAATTTTAACTTGTACTGGGAACATGGGCTGGTGATATCCCCTCAAAATTTCAGCCTCCCACCTCCCCTGGCTTTCCAAATTAGCAATTTTCGTGCAGGAACCCTCACGTGGCCGTACGCAGGAACCACGCAAAATCACCCATAAGGGCTGAATTTGAAATCTTTAAGTTCCTGATGGACGGAGAACATAATCCCATAATTTCAGCTTTCTAGCTTTTCTAGTTCAACAGTTAGCGATTTTCCTGCCAAAACTTTCACTCTCTCGTACGCGGATCGCAGACTCGCATGAGAGTTGTTTCGCGGTCCTGGAGTGGCACTTGGCTGGAGAACCCCCAGGCAAAGTTTTGGCACCGAAGCTTGCTTGGGTGCCAAGTTGAAATACCGGGACACACACACACACACACACACACAAACACACACACACATACACACGTATACACATATATATGCACACACGCACACATACACACACATTTTCATAGTGCCTGACGTAGTGCTTGCTTTTCAGTTCTTGCAGGCTTTTGCGGATATTCCATGATATTTCTGGTGTGAAGTCACCCATCAAAGATACTAACGAGGGACTGTTGCGTCGCTTTTTAAACAAGCATCATTATTTGATGCCGTAAAAGAGAGAAATCGATTTATGTTTGTACCGTACATGTAATTGGAAACAACAAAAACATTTACAGAAATATATACGAACGGCAATGGCAAAGCAGTTGGATCGTTCTGGATTGGAATTCATAAAATCCATGGCGACTGGCAAATTCCATCTCAGGACAGAGCTACTGCTGCATCACTGGATTGGGGCAAATCTTTTGGCTATGGAAAAGTCATAAACACTTTCTGGGCACCACGACAACCCAGTGGCTGCTGCGGTGGACCAAATGTTTCCTGCGTGATCTCGAATTACAACAAAAATTCCCAGTGGGACGATGCATCCTGCACGATTAAGGCCGGCGTTGTTTGCCAGAGATATGCTTTCCAACCCGTCTGCTAATACTGTGCCTTCCTGTGGCTCCACAGTTTTATTACTGCGTATGCCTACGTCAGGTGCATGCGAGACTCGCATCCACAAAATACCACCCTGTTTGCTCCTAAAGCATTTGACACGTTTACTGAATCATTTTATTCAACTCGCGTATGCCGTGAGCAGGGAAGAAAACTTCTTTACTGCGCTGGAACAAATGCAATAAATAGCAACGCGCACCAGACTAGCCGGTAAGGTCATGCGTTTTGTGCAGTTCTGCTCACTGAACGATCGCCTATTAATAATTCTTACTGCTTTGTACTTTGGTCTATGCAAAAATAGTTGAAACGTTGAAAAATAGTTAAAAATTCCACGCACTGGTGTAAGAAAGCTGAATTTGAAACCCTGAAGAGTGAATATCCTTCCGTGATTCCCGAGATAAAAGTTTACCTGCTAAAATTTTCACGAAGCCGCTGAATTTGAATATGTAAGGTCGTACGTGGGCGAAGGGTCATTACTCTAAAACTTCAGCTTTGTAGACTTTGTGGTTCCCGTAATAATTTACCCGCGAAAACTTTCACGGAGCCGCAGGTGATACCCGAGAGTACGGGAACGCCGAATTTGAATTTGCAAGATCGTTCGTGGGCAGGAGGTCACAACCCCAAAATTTCAGCTTCCTAGACTTCGTGGTTTCCGCTTCCTAGACTTCGTGGGTAATAATTTACCCGTCAAAAATTTTCACGGGGCCGTAAATGATACCCGCGGGCAGGGAAAAGCTGAATTTAAATTTTCTGGCCAGCACACGGGCGGAGGACATGCCCACAGAATTTCAGCCTTCCAGCTTCCGTGGTTCCAGAGTTACTGATTTTACCCGAAAAACTTTACGGAGCCCGCGAGTACGGGGAGGCTGAATTTAAATTTGCCGCGTCACCTGTTGGCGGGGGACACTATACTAAAATTTCAGCTACCTAGCTTTTGTGGTTCCCGAGTTGAAAGTGCGACACACACACACACACACACAACCTCACGGCAATATGCGTTTTGTACTGCTGTTTCACAGAACAAAACGTATAACAACAATTAAGCACATAAAATGATTTTTAGACCCGTTTTTGAATTTTTTTTTTGGTCCTTAATTGACAATGGCAATCAAACATCCGGCTTGATGTTGCGCTTTTGTAGTCAATCACCAGCCAAAGGACACAGATGTCAACTGTTCTTTTGTTAAGCTGTACTACATGGAATTGTAGCAAAACAGAAAGGGAAGGGACAGTGAAGCATGTTTTTATGGTCAGCAACC